TTCTTGAACTTCGGGGATTTTGCTAAAACCTCTTCCTGCTAAAAATAAAGCACTGTTAATGCCCAGGGACAGAAAAAAAGACTTGGGAAAAGCGAATAAATCAAGGACGAAAAAATTGACTGCGTATGCCCTAATTAACTTTGAAAGCGTAGTTTGGGTTTTTGGCATGAGGATCGAGTAAATTACAAAGCAAACAAAGCTTACCGATTGAATGATAAAACAATTACTGAACTCGGTTTGAAAAAAATAAAATAATGGTTTCTTATTGTCTCACAGATCATTTACTACGTCCGCCCTTGGCATAGACCAATAATTGATTTGTTCGTAAATGATCGTAACTGACGAAACACATAACTTTTCTCTCCCTTCTCCAATAATTGTTAATTGTTTGTTCTTGTAGAGAATGGTGCAGCGTGGCATCCTTACTTGTCCTTCCGGGTGTAAATGTGACGTCCTTACTAGATGTGGTCAAAAGTATCCACAGCCCTATTGACTAATTCTTAGATTAAGTTAGCTTAGGAAGAGTGATTTTATGTGGCATATCTTATTTATCTTATGGAGAACTCCACACACTGAAAGGTTTAGAGCTTAAAATTTGGTTTAAGTTATTGCGACAAAATACTTGTTAGAATAGTTCTTGATGTGCTCTGTGTGTTCAGGTTTTCTAAAACGTCTTTAAATGCCCTGCCCTGACATCTTGATTAATAACATTTTGAATTTTCTACGCCATCTTGGCATTGAGACGTACGGAACGTTGCCATGGCAGTTTTGTAATGTCACAAGTGAAATTGTATATTAACGCTGAAATTTCGTGCCAAAATTAAGGAGTAATCTATCACCCATGACGTGATATCACGCTTGGCGGTGTTGGTCCCCCCCCCCCACACCGGGTTGTCATGGTTACCTCCCGTGCTGCCTTGCGGCTCCCTTCTTTTAACCAGGCTACTTCCCCACACCCATTTCTACTGTCGAGGGGTTTAATCAAGGACTAGCTTAGCCACGTCATGTTTTCTTCCTTTTGAATTTTTTTGCTAAATTTTTCAAGTTTGTCTTTCCCATCCATGCTTATATCCTCAACCATCCTTAATTTATTATAATGGCTAATAACTCTGTGCATGAATTTTTCTTTTCCTTGCAAGTCCGTTTGCAAGATATCTTTTTTGAAATAAATTTATATACATATAAGCCAAATTATTAGACGTTGTACTTAGTGAGTGCCTTCTCATTGGCTAAGAGCCTACAGTTTATTTTGAAAATAAGCGCAACCTTCAGGTTAGTTAATTATCTGCTAGCAGATAACTGACTTGTCTGCAGTTTGCGCGCACAATGCATGATTTCCAAGAGCAATTTCAAACTATGTTCGACGGTGTGTTGTTGTTTTCTTCAAAACAATGTGTGACTAGTTTAACTTTTTGTAATACCCGGAATAGGCCGGTAAGTGTTATCAGCCTCAGCCTTCGGCTTGGCTGGCAACATCTAGACCTTTGATTATTCCGGATATCATAAAATCTCATTCAATAGGTGTTCAATATAGGCACTGGTGAACATGACCATGTTTGGAAATATGTACGGTAGTGCGTGCTTCACGATTGACCAGGTGTGTACTGAAACTTGACTTTGCCCATGCCTGGAGAGGAAAATCTATAAATGTTTACAATCGCACCATTCACTATTTATGTGTTTTTGGGATGAAAGAAGATTGGAGATTGGAGATAAGATTGAGGCGCGCGGGGATAAATAAATAGCAACTGGGTACGAGTCTGGAGTAGTTGGCCGAGAGGGATTGGCGAAATAATTCCCAATCCTAACTTCCGCTTAATATTTACTTCCGTTTTTCTGGGTTTCAGTCCTCCCTTCTACTCGTTTATTAACGCCACGGTTCGAATACCCGTTACCAGTGCACACTGCGACGAAGAGTTGCACAGAAACCTATCCGATATGAGACGATCCACTTTCTAGATAGGTGCTGCTTCAATTGAAAGTGGTAACATTGCTTGGATTAACGATGAAATTCTAATTTTGATAAATATGGACAAAAGTTTCCTTTCCTGTGTTAAAGGTACATCCCGGGATGTCGAAAAATTGGTTTGAACACGTTTTTGTTTTACTGTGTCACTTGACTGCCAAGAGACCCGTGACACGGTTGTGGGTCACTACCATGGTACTCTTTGAAAATATAATGGAATGAGTTTATGGTGCCTTTATGCTTCTTATGACGTTGTATGGCGAAACGAGGTCAAATGGTTTTCATCAAACTTCTGCTTGAAAGTTGGGTTTTCTTGCTTGAAAACCGATTTACCTAGCGGGATGACGACAGAACCAGAAACTTGCCTTAAAATATGGAAAAAACGTCTTATAATCGAAAATGTTTAACGCCTCTGAGGGGGGAGTGGTTTGTTAACCAAATATTGACTATTCCAATTCAAAGAGAAGTTGTTTTAAAATGATTTAAGGCATCGAAGAGATCAAAAATCACAGTAAACATCTCGTTTTCTTCAGGTTTAATACAAGATTACTTCTCTGAAGGTAACATCAGAAACTAAACATTGCATCGTGCAACGTGTTGGGATAAAGTAGAAGCAGTTCAACAAGCCGACCTATAAGAGAATCCACGATAGTCTGGGATTCTGGATTCCACGTCACGGATTCCGGATTACAGGTACTCGATTCCAGTCTTTGTCAGTAGAACTTGGATTCTCAGTTCCAATTGCTAGTGGATTCTTTGAGCTGTACTCCGGACTCCAAAACCCAGGATTCCGGATTCCACAAGCAAATTTTTCCCAGATTCCGGATTCCGTTACATGGGGCGGTATAAGGGATGAACCATTAGGAAAGAAAAGGGCTGGGTTGAATTCTTGGGAGGTCTATGAAAGCTTTCTTTTTACCCCTGAGGTGGAAATCTATTTTTCCTTCTCGAACAGCTTTTTTGATCATGGTGCGTGTGGAGACTTTTTTCTTACTAATGCGCTTGCCTCCCCTCAACCTCCTATCCTTTTTTTCTAATGGTGACATCCCTAAATTAAAGCAGCTTCTTTAAATAACTGAGGGATGGCTAAAAGTCAATGGTCTAGAGAAAAGGGATCTAGAAGCAGTAAAAATAGGTCAGATTCTCGATAGAATGATGATAGCTTGAACGATTGCTGTTATTTCCTAACGCCAAACCTCAGAACGTTTTTGTATACGTGTTTTGGAACTGATCTATTAGATAAAAAGCCCAACTTTTACAACCTAGCACAATTATAACAAAACATCATTAAGTAATTGGAGCGTCCAAAATCTTAATTTAATCTCGTCCACTGTTTGGATACTTTAAAGTCGACATCAATTAAAGCTGTTGGACCGCTAACGCATATAGTACACGAAAACGTTTTTTATGATTGAAATAACTCGCAGTAATTAATTAAGAAACAAGATTAAGAGTTAAACCTAGTTTAATGGCTGAACAAATAGTCTACAAGTGCAGAGACAGAGGCGGATTCAGCTCTACAAGGAATTGGTGGTGGAAAAAAAGAGAAGGAAAATAAATCTTGTTTTCGGTTGAAAATTAGATTTCGGGCCCTTTTTCCTTTGTTTGCAGGCATGGAAGGACTATCTGGCAACGCTTTTCCCAAAAAAGGGTTATTAAAACAAGGAAAAAGTCACTGACTCTAATGATTCTTAGACGGTCCAATTCGCCAGCGGTCACCCGCTTTCGTCTCTGCGCAGAAGATTCAATGTATCGTCCAAAACTTACTCTTAAAACTACGAGCATATTAATTATTCCCAAACATGGAAGGCAAAATGTTTACTCTCTGTATGAAACGCTAATAATTTATCCATATAAGTTAAACTCGCCCCTGAAATCCCATTTTACTTGAATTTAAAGGCAGTTTTAATTAAGTGACACAACGTGTGTCCCAATATATAACATCAGTACAGAATGCAGACTGCTCTCAGAGTCTCAGTGCAAAACATTGTTTTCACCATGCAAATGGAACGTGACAACAATAGTCCCATTGACAAATGCATATGAAATAAATCATATACGAGAACTGCGTAAATGAAATCTAATGCAGAATGATCTTCGCAGTTGTGAACGCAATTTATGCAATAATTGCTTAAGAAGGCTGAAAAAAAAAAAATATTCAGGACTTCAACGGGATTTGAACCCGTGACCTCGCGATACCGGTGCGATGCTCTAACCAACTAAGCTATGAAGCCACTGATAGTCCCATTGTTTTCTAACCCTGAAAACAATGGTCTGCAGTCTGCATTTTGTACTGTTCACCAATTTATAATTATACATGAAGGATCAACAAGACATGAACATATATTCATTTTTTTTATAAAATAGTACTAGTTCTGAGAAACCGGGGATCAATCAGTAGAAAACGTAACACACCCTTTGAACCTTAAACCACTGAATTGTGACCAAAATACTTACAGTGCATACTTAAACATGTTAAAATTATAAAAATTATCTAATTAAAATCTGAATCACTCTACTGAAACCACGGCCACGCTTGTAAATAGTTAATTGGTTCGTCTCCGTCCCGTTGGAATTCTTAACCCTCGGACGTACAAGGGGGGTGTGTTCCCCCTCTGAGGTTTCTTAGATTTTTTTTAGACGATAAAAAAATCAGCACCTGACGTTTTCAGTGGCTGTTCGTTTATTCCTCGCGCGCATTTTGAGGCAAGTTTAGTGAGCGTCAGTTACTATGGTACACCTATCCTTATTGTGTATATATTTTAAAATTATCAAGTGTAGCCGTGACTGATTTAAAAACGTTTTTTTGATGAGTATTAATTGGAGAGATTTAGAGTTACGTTTACGGCAAAGCGTGGATTTGTACCACGTGACCAAGTGTTCCCTTTACTTCTCGTTTGTTGTTAATTAAATCTACAAAAAATTGTTAGTTTCAAGTTAGTTTTATCCATAAGAATTGCTTTGAGCTGTATTCATTTTATCTCCATATTTTCTATTTTGAGAAATTCTTAACTTGAATTTGCTGACGTTTGCAGTTCGCCGTTAGCGTGGCTCTAAATCTCTCTAGTCAATATCTTCTGAAAAAGTGATTGAAATGAAAACACGCTTTTTTACCAAAAGCCCCATTGAGGACATTCCTCTATTAAATAACGAACTCCTTTCTTTGGGGAAATCCAGATATATACACGCTATCTCAGCAGTTGTGTTGACCATCAAACTTTCAGCTCATCCCTGTAAAGAAAGTAGCAATTGAGGTGAATGATGATGTGAAAAATGGCAAATAATATATTAGACATGATGTTTTTCATGAAGCTGTTAATTATTGGTCAACATATAGAGCTAGACAGTACTCTAAGAAAACGATGGTAGCTTATTGCAAATTGTATCTTTCATATGTATTGTCCCTAAATTAATTAAGAATTGAGAAAATTAAGGGTTATCTAGTGTTTGAATGATTTCTAAACGATTTGCTTGGTAGGAATAACATGTGATTGTGTGAATCCATTAACGGTACATACTTACCACACCTATCCTTATTGTGTATATATTTCTCTTTTTACCAGTATTTATCAAGTCTGCCAATGTTCTTACATTTCGAGTTGAAAATAATAGTTCAGACTTTTATTCTTCAGCCTTCTATTTCTAGGACCCTTAATAAAGAAAAGCAAGAAAAAAAGTAATAAAAACTCTCTACTTACGATTTCCTCAAGGTTTTTCTTCAATTCAATCTTAACATCATCACCAATCAGAACAAATGGAGCCCAGTACCTCGGGGCAGAAAAATCGTGGGAGTCTCGAAGACATTTCATGGCCCTCTGAAGAGCAACACTTGCACTTTCTCCACTTCCAAGTTGTTGGTAGAAAGACTTCATAAACATCATTGTGGCTTCGTCATCAATTGCCCAAAGCGCCGCCAGCACGGAACGAGCACCAGCAAACAAAAAAGCACGCGCCATACCGACCACACCCTCAGACGATACCTTTCCTTGACCACTGTGGGCGCAACTAAGCACAACTAGCCTCGCTCTCAGCCTAACAGCTTGTATGTCAGACATTTTCAAAATATAGTCCTCCTCCGTAGGAGGCTTGGATCCCGATCGGGGGTTTGGAGCCAAAACAATTTCTCCAGTCTCCTTCCTTCCGTGGGCTGCGATGTGAACCAAACCAACTGACGCGATTCTCTGAAGTACCGCTTCTTTGGTTGCATCTTTACCTGTTAAAGGTTGACTTTCTAGAATTTCTCCAATCATCTCCACTTCCATTCTTGCGTACTTCAGCTGCCCATAAATGGGGTTGCCCCATTTATTTGTAACTTTCTCCAAACATGGGTCTCCGACAATTAAGGCTCCACTTTTACTGTGGTATTCACTTGGCGAATCTGTGATGACTTCCAAACTTCTCAGTGAGGGAACCATACGAATTCTTAACGATTCTCTTAAGGCTGCCCAGGGAGCTAAGCACAAAGCACCATCGGGGACTACAATTAGTTCATCACCATCAAGCAAGTCTTCAATGGGACCAAGAACCGCATCATATAATGGCTGTAAAAAGTCGGGGGTCTCCTGTGATGGCTCCGATGTTTGATTGTCGTCTCGAGTACTTGAGGGAGTTGAGTCATCACTCAGCTCATCCATTGACCGATTTTCGCACCTAATACCGACGCCATCCCTCATGTTTTTCAAAACAGTGTCTAAAAGGAGAGTAAAGGAATCTTCGTGTTCACAACCAATTTCTATCTCTGCTTGCCTAAAGATAGGGTTGCCCTCTTTTCCCAACACCCAGATATTGACTGTTTTCAAATGAAGGGCCAGAAAAACTGTTAAAGCAGTTGTCTTCCTTGAAATATTTCTGACTTCTTCTTCAGATTCAATTGACCTGGGAGAAGGTGATGTAAGGCCATAAGTTACTTTTAAGGCATCGAGCAAAGCCTGTGCCCGTCCCCTCTCAGCAGCGTATAAGGCCTCATCATTCCTTTCAAGCATTACTAAAACGTACCATAAATGAGTATAGGCAAATTGATGTTGCGTACGGAAACTTATTTTCAATTCATCTTCCGAGATAGAACTGGCTCTAATGGTGTCATAGACTTTTACACTGCATCTAAAATGTTCTAAAGCCTCATTCAAGGAATGTGAATGCAAAAAAGATTGACCCAGACCGACATGGGCACACGCTTCTCCCTTCCTGTCCCCGATTTCCTCGGAAATCCTCAGGTGTTGCTTGTAACACTCTATTGCTTCCTTGAAGTCGTGGAGATGTGCATAACAACTTCCGAGGTGGCAATAGGCATGTCCTTGTCCATCCCTGTCACCGATTTCCTCAGCATTGCTCAGGGATTGCTTGTAGTACTCCATTGCTCGTGGCACGTCGCCGAGGGAAATATGAACTTCGCCGATGTTTAAATAGGCATGTCCTTTTCCTCTTCTGTCACCGACTTCATTGGCAATGCTCAGCTGTTTCTTGTGGCACTCCATTGCTCGTTCGAACTCATTAAGTTTGAGATAAGTAGGGCCGAGAACAGAATAGGCTTGGCCTTCCATTGCCCTGTTACCATCTTCCTTGGCAATGATGAGGCTTTTGTTGGTGTACTCTAGTGCTCGTTGGTATTCGCCGAGAACTAAATAGATATGGCCGAGAATGCCATAGCCTTGCCCTTGCCCTGCCCTGTCACCAACTTCATTTGCAATGATGAGGTATTTATTGTTGTACTCTATTGCTCTTTGGAATTCATTAAGGCTGCAATAAGCAAAGCCGAGCTTGGCAAGGGCTTTGCCTTGACATGCCCTGTTACCAACTTCCTTGGCAATGCTGAGGTGTTGATGGTGGTACTCTATTGCTCGTTGGAATTCGCTGAGGGATTCATAAGCATCGCCGAGACTGGCATAACCACATCCTTCTTCTGCCCTGTCACCAATTTCCTTGGCAATGCTGATGTGCTGGTTGTGGTACTCTATTGCTCGTTGGGAGTCACCGAGGGATTGGTAAGCCCAGCCAAGATGGCAATAGGCACGTCCTGCACCTGCTCTGTCACCAACTTCCTTGGCAATGCTCAGGCTTTTCATCTGGTACTCTAGTGCTGTTTGAGAGTCACCGAGGGATCTGTAAACACAGCCGAGATTGCCATAGGCACATCCTGCACCTGCTCTGTTACCGACTTCCTCAGCAATGCTCAGGTATTGCTTGAGGTACTCTATTGCTCGATGGAAGTCCTCGAGGAGGTAATAAGCAGTGCCTAGATTGTAGTAGGCATCTGCTTTCTCTGCCGTGTTTTTATTGATTTGCGCTTTTGTAAGACGCTTCTTTTGTTCAGCTATATCTTGTAGTATTCTTTCTGCCATTTCGAAATTTAAGTAGTGAAAGTGGACTGTCCCTTTGCAGTAGGGTTTCTTTAATGGAGCGTGGAGGTGGAGAAAAAACAAAAATAATTCTCATTAATACATTTGTAGCCTGCGTAAACATCCGTTTCTCCTCGCTCTTCGCCGCTGGGGACGTTTCGCGCGTAGGAACTGTCTGCGACTCAGCGACAGAATTCCATACTGATGACGTAAAATCTGTCCGGAATCCGGTCAGAAGCGCTGATTGGTCAACGGACTAGTTACATTGTTTAAGCTATTGTTTACAAATCACAGACAAAAGATAAAAGGCTACAAAGGTCAAATGTAAACGCAAAGAATCTCTAACAAAACAGTCAATATTTGTGGAATATAGTCTTTTCTAGAGGAAGCATTTGGGTTTTGCTGGAGCTCGTTGGCAGATAAGCAAAACACTTTACCAAAATCGACCAGAAGACACGTAAAATTAGACAGATTTATATTTGGAACCCCATGACTACCGGATTTATTATGTAAACATTGATTTGCGTCATCAGTATGGCATTTCTGTCGCTGAGTCGCAGACGTTCCCCCGCGCGAAACGTCCCTAGCAGCGAAGAGCGAGGAGAAACGGCTGTTTTCGTAGGCTAATACATTTGAAGTCTTAGAATATGTCCCCATCTGACAGATAAGACATGATAGAACTTTCCACTCCTTTCTCCCCAGATTTAATCTAACTGACGCATCTTCGGAATTATTCTGTCTGTTATAGCACAATATTTCAGGTAGAATCCCTTAAAACGTTTTTCTATAAATTAAGATTGAAATACTCAAAAAGTCATATTTGTGTACCCCACCTCATTATTCAGAAAACAAAGAAAGGTTAATTTAAGTTCAAAAACTAATCATTTTTGAAACCTGTGATACCAAATGAAAATGTAGTTAAGAGCTTCTGCGTAAGAGAGTGTGTTAGGGTTGCACAGGAATTTTTAGGGAGTTATTTTAAGAACAGGTTAACCCCTTTTATAATTTAACTCCACATTTGGGGTCATTTTTACTCCTGAAAAGGAGTTCTTTTTCCTCCAAGTCTGGAGTTAAAATAACTCCGAAAATGGGGTTATTTTTACTCCTTACATGGGTTGTTTTTACTCTTTTTGGAGTTTATTTGACTTTGAAAGTGGAGTAAAAATTTTAGGTACAGGATAACTCCTTTTTTCGAATTATTTTGACTCCTCAATATCTGGGGTCATTTTTACTCCTGAAAAAGAGTTCTTTAAACTCCTTTTTGGAGTTATAGTAACTCCCCCAAAAATAACTCCATGCACTGTAAGGGGTTAAATTAACCCACTAGAGGAGTTATTATAACTCCTTGAAAATTACTGTGTGGAAATAGGTGTCGGTAGAGTTTGGTTACACTTAGTTACTATGGAGACATCCGCATTATGCCAATGTTTTAGCTCGATTGTCTCTGTTTTGGTCTGAGGTAAAGATCGGCCTTTTGAAGCCGAGTTCTCTGAAGTCGATTTTTTGGTCAATTTTGACGGTTTTGAATAATTGCGACCTTTAATGTGTCTATCGGAACATTTTCAGCCAATTTAAGAGTCATTTCTTATTAGCTCTATCCTCAAGGTTTTTATAGCAGAACATGCAGCTCAAAGAAATAAATTATTTTTATTGTTTGTGACTTTATTGTATAGTTTGAGAATACCCGTGCATGGATGCATATGGTAGGAGAAACCACAAAAGGCCCAAAGTTAAGCCCAATTAACTTCTGTTCTCACTTTTGAAATTATAAAATTCTTACATGGTAAAAAATATCAAAAACACCAAGAGGAAAACACCAAGTTTATACGGCTTTCTCACTGTGCAACCCTGCATTGATGATTCTATTATAGTCACAACACTCTCCCCATCTAGTTCTCATAAATTGTTTTCCCCCAAATAGTCTGTATACAGGCGTCCTCCCGTCAGAAAAAAAAAAAAAGATTTTCTAAGGGGAGGGTGTGGCTGTACACAGGTTAAGTCCAGAGAAATGGGCCTGGGTCTAATCCTCAAAAATGAGTCCGCTGCCCGGCGACGATTACATTACATGCAAATTTCAGTGAGACCACAAAGTAGCAAACCACAACAAATTTTAAATTGTTTGCCTTACATAGAGCAGAAATACAAGCCATTTAATCTATAAAAAGTAATTTTCCTGAAATACTTTGAGGCATTATAATTTACATAGTCCCAATCCACAATGAATAAATTTTAAAGGCAGCTGTTTGAGGAAAGATTTCTTGACCAACTAAATTCATGACCTCAATTTCCTATTGATCGATGCAAGACTTCGTTTCACAAATTTATATGTACAAAGCAGGTCTTTCTTCGTTAGCTATTACAAAAAAAATGAAAATTATTATAAATCTGTGACGTCTCACAACATGAGAGATCCACATCTAACACAAATTATCCTGAATATCCGGCATTGCTTGTGTGAGGAGGGGTAGGGGTGAGGGTTTTTAGGGGCGGGGGGAGGGGGTGGAAAGAAATTGAAAAAGAAACGCGGACAAAGGACTCACAAAGGAGACAACGAAGGGAGAGAAACACAAATCGGCCAAAACAATATTGTAGTCGGACGTTTTGCTTAACATGGAACAAACATACTTTGCTTCGCGGTCGCAAACCGGTCTAAACTTATTATTAATTATTTCTAAGTAAAAAAGAGAGAGAAACTACAGCAGGAAATCAAAATGAACCTTGCAGAAATATCTGCTCAGGAAAATTCCAAGTTGAAGGAGATTATTTCTTACCTGAACGATTTGATATCTGTGAAGAAATTTTCGACGGAGTTTGAAGTGTTCTCCAGTGGTTGGATTTAAATGCAGAGGACTATCATATATATAGGGTGGCCGATAGAAACAAAAAACCACAAGAAAACAACAACAACAACAAAAATAGGAGAGAACAAACCCAAAACAGAAAGACATAAGACAAAACGGAAACCCAAAACAGAAAAACACTACCAGGAAACAGAAACACAAATCCCAATACGGAAATAAGCATCCCCAACCGGAAACGCACACAAAAAAATACAAAATTAAACCGCAAAACTGAAACAGAATCCAAAAATACAGATAAACCACATCCACAAAAGACGAAAACAGAAACAAGGAAATAGTGTAAAGCTATACTTTCTTATATTTCATCGTCTTTTTTTGAACAGGCGTTTACTTTTTTTCAGGGAGACCATGATCGCAGGCTATTATTATCTAGGAACAACAAACTGTAAATCAATCTCGTTCCTATGCTATCTCTTCTCTTCGTCGCCTTTCGCTCCAGGTGACCGGTAATTTCGTCTTTGAGGTCTCCGGTCAATTTTAGCCCGCCGAGGTCTCCACGCGAGGACCGGAAAGCAAAACAACCTAATACAATATTAAATATGTGTGGCATCTGACAGGTTCTATGTATTTATTTACTAACCTTCAATACTTTTTTAATTGTAATTTGTTTTCTTACTTACTGACTTTTTTATTTATTTATTCTTTTACTTTCTGCTGCGTATTAATGCTGTTTATACTACTACATGAGAAATTTCTGCAATTTGATTGGCGTAGGGCAGTGGTATTTCAGCTTAATTTGAAATACCTACATGTGAAAATTACGAACCTTTGGTGGGTAGTAGTATAAACAAATAATAGCAACATTTCTAGTGATATTTGGCATAAATACCACTCGTGATATTTCAAAGCTGTCTCAAATTTCACTTGCCTAGCGGCTCGTGAAATTACGTGCAACAATTTCGAAATATCACGAGTGGTATTTATGCCAAATATCACTACAAATCATGCTATTACCTATACTAATTTGTTGTTAATAAAATAAAATAAAATTTAAAAAAAAAAACACATGCAGGGGTCCGTTTCTTGATCATTCTGGTACCTTTTCTAGTCCAAAGCAGACAACCTAACGTGAGACATAAATACCAACGTATGGCGTTAATATACAGAGATTGACTCTGACTGAAAGTCAGTTGCTCGAGATTTAATACACCAGACGGTAGCGAAACGTCATTTATAAAACTATTTGGCGTACTTTAAAATTTGTGGGGGTTATTTTAATTGGCTAAGTAAGTCAAATGTTGGCGATTTTTCAGTGGAAATGAATTTTTAGGGAGCACTGACATCAAAGTGTAAATAGAGAAAAATAAATTTGTCTTCGGGTCTTATGTCCTCTATATAACGTAGTGACGGCGAATATATTTACAAAAACGTGTGACGCATACGGCAGAGTTATTGTTTTGTTCATTGAACCTATGTCAAGAAAATATGCGAAAGAGGCCCCGTTTATATCGAGAAAATTTTTCTCGGTGTCACCCTCCCAGCCCGAGTCAACTTAAGCAAGTGTTAATTATATGAGAAACAGCTGACCCTTTTGCCCGAGCTGAAAACAGCGCTCGTGCATGCTCTGATTCTCTTGTCTTGACCGAGTTAATGATCCGGCTGGGCAAGGCAAGTGTTTACTTGGCGAAAAGTTGGCTTAGCTAGGAGCGTGAACTTACCATCGAAAAAGGGCACTAACCGAGCCCACTATTTGTTTCTAGTGTAATTAAACGCCAAGTTTCGGTAAGGAAATGTTGACTCGCCCGGGGTAGCTAGGGTAGGCGAGTGGCTCTTCTACCCGGGGCGACTTTTCTTCATATAAGGAGCGACCTTGCAGTTCTTGGAATACATCCCGTAATGGGTTGGGAAAACAATGAACAAACAAAGTTTGGAACCTAGCCCGAAAACAAAGGAACTGCGACCCATAGGGGTCTCTTCTGAACTGCTGCAAGGCTACTTGGGCCACAGGCCGAGGGTCCAATTGCCTTTTTACGCGATGACTTGTTTTTGCTAGTAAAGGAATTCCTTTCATTTTTTCCTTCATATTTAAATTTGTTAATCCCTACGGAGATTTAAAAACCAAAAGCCTTAACTTTCGCAAGAAAGCAAAACCCTGAGGAAATCTGGTATAGTAAAATGACGCCATCGTAAAAACGGCCTTTTATGGAATCCTTCCGAGAATTTGGCTTTCTAATGCAAATTAAGACTTCTGAATATGAAAGAAATTAAAAAAAAAAAAAAAAAAAAAAAACGAAATGATTCTGGTCGTATTTGTAGATTGACACTATCGTGAAAAGCCCCGTCCACACAAATCCGGATATTTTTATGGCGCATTTATATCTATATTTTCACATGAATCGGCCTTCCGTTTGGTATTCCGTCCACGACGAAACCAGTGAATCCTCTCACCGAAACATTAGGATGATTTTGCAACAGAACGGGAGCGTCAGTTGACGACGGGAAAGCGCGCGGAAAGGTCTAAACACGACTTCCGGTGCTCAACTTGCTTCTCTGCCGTTAGTCAAACCCAGGACAACTCCTGGTCAAGCCAGTTGTTTGATTTGCTCGCGGCGTCGTCGTCATCTGTCGTTCCCGTTTTATTGCGCACTAAATCAGCCTACTATCTTTTTGAAACCGGTCTCCGGAGTGGTTTAAGGCCTCGTCAGCACGAATCCAGGTAAAAGGATATGCAGTTTTAAAAATTAGTCTTGATTCGTGTAAACGAGGTCTAAAACAGTTCAGGGTAGCTTTTGCTGGATCAAGTCTAGAATGTCCTTGTAAACCACGCCCGCAGTTTCTTCCACCTCATTCAAAAGTTCATGGCGTCCATTTTTGTCCACCTACAAAGCAAGTTTTACAAGCAGTTGAGTTAATAATGAAATAATAAGTAGATTTAAAAATGACAACGGGAAGGAAAATTGGCCGAAGAGGGAAAACAACATATCATTCTTTAGACTCCCGTTTGGAGACGAAAATTGAAAGATGAAAGCATTTCCTCTTTGGTGATTATTTTATAAATTCTCATAACCTTTTCCTTTTGAAAATGTGTTGATATTGGTTGGAGAAAATTTATATTTGTCACTCCTGGGGCTAAAAGGGTGAAGACAAATCACAAGTGTTGTTGGGATAAGTTCACAATGATTACGCTTAGAACCAGGCGGCCGCAACTCCTACCCCGGGCAGGGCAATATCGCCACATGAACAAACGCCGTTTTAAGACCGCCTCTTTCTGCCCTCATGATAAACCGTCAAGCACCCTTACTACTCGTCGAAAGTACAAACAGAGAGGCTATTAGTTCGCTCAGTGCTGTCAGCAAAGCAGCTCATTCGTGTACCTTAAATGTCTTGTCGTTACTGGGAGAATTCTCATGTAAGAAATGTGAACCGTCAATCTTCAGTAATTGATCTCCATCACCATGGACAAGTAGATAAGGTGTTGTAAGCCTTGACAAGTTCCCCTGGATTTCATTCATTGCGTCTAATATAGCTCCCACCCATCTCACTTTCATTCCCTCATGCCAGTTTAGGCTATCATTGGCATACTTTTCAACCTAAAACAATAGTAACAAACAAGGTGCATTGTGTTATTGAAGTCCTAGACTTGCCACAAGTCAAGCGCGTGAGAGTAGAAGGCGCGAGGGAGCCTGGTACTCAACAAAATTCGACTTGCTGTAAGACTTTTGGTTACTAAATGGATTGTGCAAAGAATTGAGTGACACTGAAATTTTTATGGGGAGGCTCCAACCCTAAACAAACACGACAAGCTCCTTTAACGATAAATGTGTAAGGAGTTAGGTCATGGGGTGGTGTCTTACCATATAATATAAAACGTTGTTGAGTAGCTCCCCCGCCCTCTCCCACCGGGGGTATAATCTTAGGACAGATTAATTGAACAGGACAGAATAACCCTCGACAAAACCGCCAGCCACCAATATCACTAGTTCATTGCACAGTCATGAAGGATGGAAAACATGAATTCCTGTCTCACAATTCCGAACGACCTGTCATTAACCTTTAAACTGAAAAACTTTTATTCAGTCTCCACCCATAATGTTCCAGTCAATGGTACGAAATGTCGAGGTTCGCGATCGGTTTGAGGGACTGGACACAGCCTCATTCAGCAACCTCCAGAAATGACCGGTAGATGTTCGGCATTGTTCGAAAGTCGTGGAAGTTTTTCTTCGGAAACGTGGATAAAATGCACACGAAAGTTTCTCTCCTTTGACTCAGGAAAAGAGAGCAGTTTTCAGTTGTGTTATTCGCCTTTTTAGAAACGAGAAGGGAATTTTATTGGAGAAGAAATTTGACCCGCGATTGTTTCTGGGATTGTTACTGGGGTCGCGCCGGTCAGCTATTGGCCAATTTTTTTCTCTGTCCCTAGTTAACAATCCCGGAAGTCTTTGCGAAAGCTATTGGCCAATCTTTCCTCCGCTGTTTTTAATAACAATCCCAGAAGTCTTTGCGAAAGTTAACTCGACCCAGTTTCTGACTCGTTTCTAAAGTGAGGAATTGTATCACCAGTGTAGGATCCTGGCTTAAGACTGATGGGTCAGTCGGTGGCCTAAAAGTGATACGAGGGCATTATCCATGATACTATTCTTCCTACACAAGCCTGTAAAATACATGCATTATATACGTTATTTGAGACCTTTAGTTTTTAAGACGAGGACGACTAAGAGTACGAGATTTTCTTAATGCTAAGCAGTGCGCGCATGAGCCAGCGTCATTTTGGCGGGAAAACGTGATAGCCGTCGTCATTCTACTACGCGTTTTGCCGAGAATGTCGTTGTGACGAAAACAAGTTATCAAATGTTAGAAGCTAAGTTTTATTATTTTCGGCCGGGAGAGGGCTTAAACTCCATCAATAGGTAACAGTGCTAACTTTTCTGGTGAATCAAAAGTACAATGGAGCTTTCCGGATGTCTATTTTTCTTTTTGAGAAGAGCGAAAGTCGTGCTCCTAGTAGTTCTCGTCCTCGAATCTAAAGGTCTCTTTTAACCAAGCGTGAGGTCCAGATAGCTGAATATTGGCCAAGTTCGTCTTGTTTTTTTTGGTGCGTTTTTATTTATGGAACAATCACTACTGTATTAATTTCGCACCTCCCCCTAGAAGACAAGGTTAAAAACTTGACTCGTTATAAAATAATCTCCTATTAAAATAATCATCACATTCCCTTCCCTCCGCCACTAGGACTTTGTAAAAAGTTCGTTTCTACTCGTGATTAATCAGTTATTTATGTTTAAATAACATGTGAATTGAGAGGCAACAGACTATAAAAAATTGCTGCCCCTGAAAATATTTCACATCTAAAATCTGTTTTATCTCACTTTGCATTAGATTTTCTTATGACGTTGAAAAATGGTTTCGTGAAGTGTTCGTTATTTGTTTTATCAGCCAATGGATGAAAAGATCAAAACATGGCCTCTTCGCTTTCCCGCCAAAGAAAACCCTAATATGGAGAAAGCATTGTTCGATTGGCCAATCGTGTTGTTATATGACTTCAAAGCGAAGTATCGTTTGATTTCAAGAAAGTTCTCGGGCGTTCGCTTAACCAACCAAAAGCCACGAGCGTTTGTATCCGTTCGATAAACCAGTCAAATCGCTCTATTTCCGTTCGTTTGATGTTTTTGTTTTTGTTCGCACGTTTTCATTTCATGGTCATACGAAAATCACTCTAAAGCTATGGTAAAACGGACAACAAAATCGTGAAACCTGTTTTACAAAATTGTTGGAAAACTAGTTGAAAAGTGATGTTGCGCATTTTACTACCCACGAATGCAAAAACTAGAGAGAAGTTCTACTTTTTGCATCAAAATCTGTCAATGTTGCGCGTTTTAATTACCGGCCCAAAGCAAACTTGTTTTGAAACAAGTGATTTAACTCCTGTGTATGGCGTGACTCCCGGGTAATTTTATCCAATCAGGATTCAGTATTCCTGCAACTTGCAACACTGAATCTTATTTGCTACAAGACAGGTTTGATTTGTGGATAATAACACGCGCAACATCACTTTGCACTTCTGCAGTAATTTGTTATCCGTTTTACCTTACTTTCAGCCTCGTTTTTAAAGTAAGAGTTTTTGGAACTCGGAATGATCTATTATAGCCTGTGATCAAGCCGTCCCTTGAAAAAAAAAGACGCCTGATCTCGGGTTAAGATAATTAAAAGACGATGAATCATGAGAAACTATTGTTTTACATTATTTCCTTGTTTCTGTTTTGCGGTTTTTGATCATCAGGTTTGTATTTTTAAATTCTCTTTCAGTTTTGTGGTTCAATTTTGTACTTTTGTTTTGTATGTGTTTCCGCTTTGGGGTGTTTATTTCTGTTTTGGGATTTATGTTTCTGTTTTCTCACGTACGTAGTGTTTTTCTGTTTTGGGTTTGTTGTATCCTGTTGACGGAACTCTAAGAAAAGAGAAATAGTCTTTGCATTGTGTTTTCGTTTACTATTTGTAGCAAGTGGAACAATAAATTACCGTGCAAGGATTGGCTTCCACTTTTATGCTTGGTGCACTAAATATTGCACCCGCAAAGAAATAAGGTCTCTATATAACACTAAGAACAGCTATTGTACCACCCTATAAATAATAATGCATAATATTAATAATATCATAACATGAACTTTTCAAGGTACAATCCTTGAACCTTCCGTAAGCAGCCACTCTAAAGGCTGAGACTTAGAGACCACTTACAGGAGGTTGTCGCTTACGACGGCTTCCTTGGAGTCAGTAGATTTCCGGGCACAGCTACTTTAAAGCAGTATAAAATATGTTGCACCGATTTATTTCTCAGTTCCATGCTGGTACTTTTAGAAGTTCTCACGGTATACTCTGAGTAGCATTAATCAAAAACAGCCAAAAAAAGAGATCAGACAAATCGTTAAGTGGTCGCTTTTCAAGAGGTTAAAAACAATGAAAAGTCTTTAAACCGCTACTGAGCGCCACGCTAACGCGGTCGCTTACGGATGGTGGTCTTTTACGAGAGGTGATCGCATATGGATGTTCGACTGTATTTGTGTTTTCGTAATATGTGATTTGACTGCATTGAAGCCAGACTTGAAAAGAGTTAATAATGAGAAAACCTGAAATTCACAGGCTTACTATGTTATCAAAACAAACTGGCAAGAACGCGACATTACAAAACAACCGCAAAGCATGATGGGCTTGGGGTATTTCTCGTTATTAACATATATTAGTATTTCAGTGATCAGCGCGGTTAGTGGACCCGAGAGCCTACCATCTATACCTTTAAAAAATGTAAAACAAACAAACAAACAACAACAAAAACAAAAACAAAATTTAAAACAAGGGGGCAGCGTTCCAATAAAGTTTTTATAACAGTACATACTATTGAGTGGCCAAACATAAATATTGGTATGCCTGTGTTGTCTGCTGTGACTTGGTCAATGTGTTTAAAAACATCTCTGACGTAACAGGAAAAATCTGATATTTGGGCTTTTTCTCCTTCACTCTGACCATGACCAACTAACAGAAAGATTTATTGTCAAAAATTAGCTCTTGAAGGGCTATATCACACTATTCGCCAGGAGACCATAACATCATCAATTGCCGAATTCCAAAAATAATGGTCCAGTTTTGTATTATGTCTCTCTCCCTCCCTCCCATCCCTAACATTTTACGGGCCACCCTCCCCGGGCTCACGAGGTTCTGCAATACACGGATTTCTCAGCTTGTAGTTTTAGATTACCCTGGGTACCAGTGGTTTTTCTCGCGTACGACAAGGAGCTTTGCGGCCGACATTTCTTGTTTTGTTCCAAAATATGGCAGGAACTTTGATCCACTGGAGCTAGATCGCCTAGCACTCATTATATACTACGAGTACGTTACACTCATAATACGGGCACAAGCATAATCGCAAACAGGAAAAAGGAAAACCTTCCACCCTTGGGCTATTGCTTATGTTTGCAGTCGACGCCGTCTTCGGCTTTTAGTTCCCTTTTCGGGAGACAACCGGAAATACGGCTGCGTTCGCACGTCAACCGGAAGTGATCTTTTTGCATGTTTGCCTGCGGGGGGTGGTGGTACTTCTCATACATTCTCTTACATGAAATCCAAACGATGTTCTCTCAACTTGCAAAGCAATCAGCAAGGGTCTTGCCAGCGGACAGATCGTCCCCATAGGGAACCCACGCATTAGACCGCTTTTGAAGCAAAAGGAAGACTATATACCACAGATAAGGTAATTCAACGTTTATTTTTCATTGATTTATATACATAGTGTGCGATATATCGCTATAGGTAGGCAAACGGTAAATCCGGTACATTTCCTATAAAATAACAATCGGCTACACCGTGACATATTGTGTGGGCGTCCGGTGATTAAACAAATCGGACCCACGCTACGCAGTCGTCCGATTTTGTCAATCAATCGTATGATTACAGACCGAATTGAACTCCACAGAAACTGACTCCAATCAGTCCTGTTACCATTAATTGTTTAATTTCCATTTGCAGTTTACAAATAAGAGCATGGGTTCCCTATTTCGTCTCTATAAGGGTAAATACACAAAGCAATACAAATCTCAGTGGTAGAGTCAACGCCTATCATAACGAAATAGGCTTCACTTCCGGTTCACGCGTGCTTCACTCTTCTAAGCTCCCGGGTTAAGCACAGAATAAGGAGCCAGAAGGGTCTTCTCTCATTTTGCCCTTTTTTTCAATGTTATATCAAGAGCCCAATGGCGGATGAGAATGCAGGCCATCAAATCATTTCGAAATTAGTGGAAATTATTTTGTAGACCTTATTTTACCTCCATCTTAATACAATGATATATATGCAATTTATATATTTGCCTTTAGGACTTTTTATAATGCAATTAATTTTAAAAAATGAAATTAAAATGTTCCGTAAAGTAAACATACAGACATAAAAGTAGCCCATAGAAATAAGTCGGAAGAATTTTACCGTATTCATGTTTTGAAACACTAATATTGATTTTATTTCATGCGCTTGACTGAACTGATGACAAGCCAAGCGTCTTGTCGTAGCGTGACTCTGGCGCGAGCAACAGCAACAAACATGGTCACTGGAGCTGCCCACACGAGAAAGCATCTCTCCTCAAAAAATGGTTGTGCTCCTGGATCGAACGGATTATTTAGCTACAGGAAAAAAAATGGACATTATGTCGCCGAATCTCGAGATGAGTTCGAAGAAACCCCTTTCCTTGCCGCGGTGATGACCTATCTCTCCTATTTCTTTTTAATAATTTTCGGTTATTTCCGTGACTTTACGCGTAACCATGGATTAGAAAAATACAAGGCAGTTAAAGAAAACGGCAATGAGGTGAGAAATAATTTTAATTAAGGTTGGTGGTTATATTTGGGGAAATAGGTGATTTTTGAGTGCTCATTCGCTTTGAATACATCGAGAACAATGGAAGTGAAACTCTGGCAAACCGGTGTTATGTTACATAACACGTTACAGCACAAAAATATTAGTAAAACGCCTTATGCAGATCGATGGAGAAATATTTATGTGAAAAGCAATAATGGCCTCTGGAAAAAGGAATATTGCTCTTAGCTACTCATGTATAATTTGAACAGGTGACGATTAGAGAGTCTTCAAGAAATTTTATAACCCGACAGCAAGCTAGGAGAACCTCGATTGTATCAGCCGAAGAATCAGTTTAAAATATTTTTGCTTGGGTAAACTAGGAAATTGAAGGTTTGGATTATTTGAATAGTGGTTTGTAGAGAAGTACCTAAAATCTACTTTTCATTTGTTGTTGTTTCACAATACTATTCAAATTTTTTTTCTAAACTTTGAACTTTTGAAACTTTACGCGTGCGCACGGCGCGTCTGAAAAGTGGCGTGATCGCTAAAATTTATGCCGGCGCGTAAAAGTCACCTACCCCCGGTTGGGAGCGACTCTCGTTTAAAAGGGACGAGAATACTCGTCGCATAATAGGAATTAAACATTTTAAGTCTGGTGAGGGCTCTGGCGTTATTTTTGTTGTATGTTTTTCATTTTAGTTAATTAAGTTAGATACACGGCATTCATGGAAAACAGGTATAGTTTAGTGTAATTTTGTGGGTTCTTTCTACACAACCCTAAGCTAAACTTGTTGGGTGCCAATATTACCTTTCTATTCTAAACAATCTAAGAGACAACAAAACCTGCAATTCATCTCCCACCCAAAGTAATATGGCGGCGAGCTTCCGTCCCTTCCATATGGGAGTCCCCCCGGATTCCAATGAGAAGTGACTGTCATGTTCACCTTATTTAGAGCTGTGTATTTGATTTGAACCCGTCCGCTTATGTAGTTTTTCTAGTTACACTTTTAGGTTCGGCATTCAGAAAATATCACTTAGTAACGTGGTTTCAAAGTCCTAGTAGTATTTGTAACATAATTATTTTAAACACAGCTATAAAAATGCCGTGCCTGATTTTGGCTTGTTCGGAAAAAGCGGCTTATGTATGTGGTATTCGATGGTATGCAAATATTTTTTCGGACCTAACTATAACAGAAACACTTCTAAGTTGTGGTGTAAATTCTCATCCTTCAACATGTGAATCACTTTTTAACAATTGTTGCTCTTTTAAACTGAAACACTTCAAATTCATTAGTCCTTCTCGTTTGTTGACTCAGCTATGAGAATCGTTTTACAATTTGCAGCTGCGGCGAGATATCGAAGAGCTTTCAGTTTTCTATTTATAATTACTTAATAGCAAGATCGTCATAGCGAAAAGGAAAAAAAGTATAGTTCCCTCTTGCACCCTTGGCAATTAAGTTTTTAAACAACTATCTGCAAATAGAGTTAATGATTTTTTAGAAGGTGCAAGACCTTGAACAATTATACTACGATCATTGATAAAGAGTTGAGAATTCCGTCCAGAATTCTCATAAGATCTGCTCAGGTTCTGCCATTAACTCTTTGGCTCTCAGATTGTAGTTTTTCAAAATCTGCTGCTATCCTCTTTCCAATTATTACCGTCTCCGTTTACTGTCTCTTTTAGCAACGAGTTGAATTCACTCTCGAGGACTAATCGTTCGTCACTGAATCGTACACGAAAATCTCCCGAAATTGTACCGAGCGGAAAGGAAACCCAGTACAGTATATTTCTTTTGTTGTTTTGAATGCTTTTGATGTTGCGTTCGTCGGCAAACGAGAAAAACCTAACGGACGCCAAATTAACTTATGCAATCATGCAATTGACAAAAGCAAATTTTTTCAGGCAATATTTCGATATAAGTTGAATTTTTCTTGCATAATATTTTCTTCTCAGAAGATTGAATGTTAATAAATGTTGTCTCTAAAAGGATCGAAAAAGGATCTCTGCTGACTTAGTTGTTAGGATATATTTTGTAGCTGTGCCAAAATTATTAAACAATCCGCTAATTACCAAATAGTCAAAATGTCAGAAAAAAAACAACTATCATAGCGTTATATCAGAAATGAGCGACCACAAGACTGAGCTTTTCTGAGATACCAAAGGGTTCTACAACGCTTGCCTGACTTACACTTCACTTAATGATTCGTCTTTGCACGGCTTGCACGACCCTTAACTAATTACAGAATAATTTGATGGGGTAGGCCGGCATTCATGATGTGCTTGTTAGGTTTGCTTTTGTTATGATGTACATAGAGTGTTGGCAGTGTAAATACAATGATCACACACAAAAAAATACCAGCCATGAAAATGATTTCCAAATTTAAAAAAGGAAAGGTTTTTAGAGAAATGTTTAAAGACGCAATAAAAGACGTGTAAACAGACCGGAGACTCCATATTCTAATTCTTGGGCGGATAAGGTGGGTATATCGGAAAGTACTCGTTTTAATGATGTTTACTGACCAATGAAGGCAAAGAAGAGTAATTAAGCTGAAATGACTTCGAAGACCTTCCAGAGGCCTGGGGGAATAAGAGAACATGTTGATAATGTCCTTTTAAGAAACAAGGGAACCGTTGAACATTGTATCGTGAAAATCAAGGGGGAAAATTTAACTTTTGTAGGAAGCAAGGGAAGATAAGCCATTCCCTTTCCCCCCCTTTTGGAGGCCCTCACTATTGAGGCTCATCGGCATCGTAACGGTTTCAGCATAATCAACCCATGTTATGCAAACGGCCGAGAGTTGGTTTTCTAAATAATGCCGTGCATTTATTCATTTATTTAGTTTTTCGTCTTCGTTTTGTTAGGGTTTTGTACCACTCTACTCTGATTTTGAGAGTTTCTACACCCGGAACATGTATACTCGTGTTAGAGACTGCTTTAACAGACCGATCTGTAGCGTTCCTGGTGGAGAGATAGACCTGCTTGACAGGGAATCAGAGGACTGGAACTGGACCTTCAGGTATGGTTACCCAGGCGCTTGTTAACAGGCTCTTGACCCTCGCGCTGAAACTGGGCCTAGTTGGGCAAAAAGTACTGGGACTAGTTTGGGATGGACCTTAATTTCGGCGCTTTTGATTGCAATCGCTTACTTTTCGCCGTATACAGTCAATTATTTCGGACACCCTTAGCTCTGCTATCGCGAATCGGTGTTCTCATTTCCCCACCTCAGAAGTTCAAGGGAGAATACAAGCTTTGGCTGCAGTGGTTTCTGGCAACGTTTGGTTAGTTATGATTGGTTGATAGTATTCAAGGCAACCCACCAATCAAAACTAACGCTTGTCCTCTCAAACGATTCCAGAATCGTTTCGCGGTAAGCTTGTACCCATTCCCTTATAGTTTCTGAAGTGGGAAAGCGATCGCGAGAGTCCGTAAAAATAGGGCCTGAGTAGAATTTCCTCAGAGAACATTTGCATTAGAGAGGCATGGCACATAAATGTAGGCAGCTCGATTGATGCGCAATATAGGAATCGTGAATCAAACCAAAAAGACAACTGGATGTGATGATAAAAGACGGATGAATATCTTTTTCAAGTTGTTTGTTAATGTTGAAAGATGCTGTTCGGTGTCCGTTAGAACAAGATTCAGAATAGACAGAAGCTGTACGTAGCTACGCCTGGGGGGCTACTTAACATCATTTTATATGGTAAGGCTCTACCTCGAGTTCTAACCCCTTAGTAACCTTTTATATACCACTTTTGGCAAAAAATGGTATCCCTTTCGTGTTCCTTCCATAGAAAAATGGTGACCATTTCAAATACCTACTAACAGTAAGTCTTGTTTTCATTACATGTAGCGCTTGGTATTTAAATTAAATGATACGACTGTGAGGTGCGTCTGTTCGAAATATTCTAATTAAGGATCTTTTAAATAACAAAATGACAGATTTTTCTGCACTTTCACCATATGGACCATCATAGGGAGTACCCCGACCCGTAGCTTCGCCAGCGGGAGTACGTAATTACTGGAGTTTTTTTTCAGTCAAAAATCTGTAATGGTCCATATTACTGGGGTGTCTGTAATAACGAAGTTTCCGCAGTGCGAGAGTTCGGTGTACTTCATCAAGGGAGCTAGTGTGTCGCAAAACGACAGCAGTTAGGCCTCGGCTGATTGTGCTCCTAAAAGTGGCAAATTATGCAGAAATTAATGTATAAGTCCCTAGATTCCCAAATTATGCTCATGAGTTTCTTTTACTTGGCAGTGGAAAAAACTTTCAGAAGCATTTCGCAAATAAGTGCCAATATTTTCGTCTTATGTTCAATGACGTTCCTTTTTCTTTAAATTCACAGTTACCCTGGAACGAAGACCAGGGCGTTGAATCTTGCATCATACAACTATCTTGGGTTCGCCGAGAATTCTGGGCCATGTTCAGAAGCTGCTGAGCAGGCGGTTCGCAGTTATGGTGTTGCAGGTTGTAGCCCAAGAAATGAATATGGTGAGAGAATATTTTTGCATTGAAAATAAATATGGGATTATTCCCCGATGGTCTAGCAATCGTGCCGCTATGTAAAAACTTTCTTTGCCCCCGTTCCGATATTTTTGTTCGACTTTCTAAAAGATATATGACGACGAGGTAAGATCCTTTTCTTATCTCATTTACGTCACAATGTTAGCCTGTGGTCCGACAGGGACACTTTTGGAAAATTGATGAAAATACCCGAAGGTTCCTCTAGTCAGTCACGATACCTTTCGTTGGCTAGTCGGTCTACTTGTTCTGAGGATCAAAACTCGTGGCATCAGGCCTAATCTGGGGTATTAACGTCGCCTTTAGATCGCATAATTTTTTCGCAAATGTTTTTAAAGCCGCCTAAAGTCGCCTTAAATAATAAAAAAAGTCGCCTAAAGTTAAGGCGCCTTAAGGTCCCGGAATAGGCCTTGGTACCTGTTTAAAATGTTCACCTGCGAGTCACGTTTTGCGTGCTTGTTATATAATAGCGTCATTATAAATAGGTAACTTGGTCATTATAACATGAGCAACGTGTCCCCGACAAAGAACTTGTACAGTTCCCATTACAATTTCCCCTAGCTGCCTTCTCTTTTTCCTTTTTTTGTAATCTGTGTGATATTTAAATTCTTATTATCAGGCACTCTTGCAATTCACAACGAGCTGGAAGGCCTGGTTGCACGGTTTGTCGGTAAACCTGCAGCTATGGTGTTTGGAATGGGATTCGCCACCAACTCCGCAAATATACCTGCCCTGGTGGGGAAAGGAGATTTGATCATCAGTGACGAGCTCAACCACACCTCCCTCATTTTAGGAGCGAGACTTTCAGGAGCTAAAATTAAAGTCTTCAAACATAATGGTAAAATGAACTTAATAACTATGTCTGGTGTATAACATCCGATAAGAGTATTAAGTAAAGCACCGTAGATGGGTCGATAAAGAGCTTTAGCAACGGCGACGGCAACGAGAACTGCGAAAAAGCGAGAGGTTTAGATTAACAAAACAACATCTCTGCGGCCGAGGAGGATAACACCCTCCTCGATCTACATTTTTCTTCAGCAGATATTCAGCCTCATTCAATAATTGTTTATTATTCATTCAAAATAATTCCTAGTTTAAAAACAAGCTAAAACATGCTTACTTCCATCAATGTTAAGTTCATCTTCGATAGTGCATGTTTAGGAGATAAAGGTTTGTTCAGTTCTGCAAATATTTTCCACTATAGCAGATGTCGTTCGTCGAGTTGTCTTCTTGCGGTTCTTGCTATGTTTTTAGCCAATAGTTCACCTACTTCTTCCTCGTGAAACAAGTGAAATGTTCCGCCACTTTATAGGTATTCACTACCAAAAATCCCAACCTCGTCCCCAGGTCTTCTCGGTTAACTGTTCAATAATCTGACAATTTTGCTGTACGATTGAGGTCATCAGTTCACATATCGCAAAATTCTTCCAGATTTGGTCGACAGTAGCTGGTTATGATGAATTATGCGTGGAATTTTAGCCAATCAGAAATGGAGAAATATTGTGAATGAATAATATTCCTATTTTCCTGCGCCCGGTTCTAGTAGCACGCTTTCAAAGCACTTGGAGCTGCAGCATTTTTCCCGTTTCTTTTTTCTTCACTGTTGAATACCATGTTTTCCGATGTGCATGTTTAACACCCGTAAACTGTACTCCCTCGCTTTACAAGTGTTCAACACCTGAGATGCGGTGAGAGGGAGCGCTAACTCCGCTGTAGCCTGTTCGTGCCTTTTGCATTGTTTCCCATGCAGCCGATTTTGTCTCGTCGCGCAAAGATCCTCCCCAAGGGGAGGGGGAGAAGCGCTGGGTCACGAGACAAAAACGACTGCAAGGGAGGCTACCCATTGCACAGGTTCAGCACAAGACTCAATAGCTCTAAAGTCTGCTTTGCGTCCTGATTGGCTCAAAGGGGAAGGTGCAACTTGAAATGGATGGCTTAATATTAAACAACCCTACTCCCCCGCGTCCATTGTTCAGGCAATGTCGTTTTTTATATTTTCTTTGTCTTCAATATTTTTTGCAGATATGAAATGTTTAGAGAAGACCCTAAGGGAAGCTGTTGTCCAAGGACAACCAAGGACGCACAGAGCGTGGAAAAAGATTTTAATAATTGTTGAAGGAATTTATAGGTAAGTCTAAAGGAAAGTTGCTTCGTCTGTCTCAAACCTTGGATGTCTCTTTCACCATATGTAATTAGAGATATGTCCAGGTTTACCCTGTTTCGGAAGTTACAAAAATCACAAAATTTTGATAGAATGTTACGAAAATTGCGAAAATAAGGAAATTTTGTTAGGCCGTTGACGAAAAGTGACGAGGAAATGTAAATAAGGCCAAATAAGGCCCTTGACGAAACAGGTGTGAAATTAACCCAAGAGAGTCCCTACCGTTACTGCCCTACCTTTGAAGTTTCCCGCTCTTTCTCTGTCATTTGGCTCGTTTCGTGCAATTTCTTGAGGTATGGCTCATTCACAATTTCAACACTAGTCACTGGAATCTAACCCCTGTTGTCTTTTGCGTGAAGCTTTTCACAGGAAAACCAAATTTTGCACAGGTACCTCGACCGCTGATCCAAAAAGTCTTGCATTCCAATTCGATCTGGAACGCACGGACACGTTTCAACGAGTTCTTATGAACTCCTTAGTGCTCCGTGGGTAAACAAATTACAATTTACAATTTTTTTTTTTTACAATTTATAAAATTTTTGAATCATGAGAAACAATTCATATTAATGAGATCATAATAGAATCGCACCTTTTAAGATAAGCCAAGAGGGTCTTGGATTATGGATTCCACGCTATGGATTCAGGATTCCAGGTACAGTCGACTCCCGATAATTTGAACCTTCAAGGGAAATACAGTGGAGCCCCGCTCTACGGACACCCACTTTATACGGACAGTTTCGTTTGTCCCGACAAAAAGCTCACATATTTTCTCTAAAATTAGCCCGCTTTGTACGGACAGCGGTTAATACGGACAACCGACACTTTTCTGTGTCCCGAGTCACAAACTCTCATATATTGTCAACCCCGCTTTACGGACACTGGTTATCTACACACTGTCTATTTTCATTGTCACAATTATGTGATAATTGTAGACATTGTACCCTGTTCAAATAATGACAGATTTTTACGGGTGAATAAAATTTTATTACAGTACTAATAAAAAAAAAAACAGTAACAAAGTAGCGTGACATATTTGATTTTGAACAGTCTATCTTTCTTCCGGTGTTTGACTCTTGTACTACGTGTAGTCCGTTTCTAAAGTTTTCTGCCTCCTGTTACACACGTTTCACTTCCTTTCTTTTTTTGTTGCAGTCATTTCTCTTAACCTTCTTCCTCTTTGACGTTGTTTGCTTGCTGCGAGCTGTACCAAGATCATCCTCCGCTCGTATTGCTAGGTTGTTGCTAACGTCTAGTAATTGTTCAAGTAAATCCACGTGTTTCCGAGGACCATCAAAAATGTAAACACATGGTCATGATTTCCATACCAAGACCTCCACCACGATTGACTGCCTTTCCACATACTTCTACCGATCCTTGGTTCGTAAAACTGTCTGCTTTGGTCTTTATATCGATAAAACATGTGTTCCTGATGTTTTCTCTGAGAGCCCGCTTAATACGGACACCCAGATAATATGGACACTATGGCATGTCCCCTTGGTGTCCGTATTAACCGGGTTCCACTGTAAAAAAAAGTTCGAGTTATCGGGAGTTCGAGTTATCGAGAGCAAAATTATATAGAAAAAGATCTAGAGGGTTCGAGTTAGCGGGAGTCGACTGTACTGGATTCCTGATTTTTTGTCAGTGGAACGTGGTCTCGAGATTCCAACTGTTAGGGGATTCCGGATTCCTTGAGCTGAATTCCGGATTACAAAGCCACATTTCCTTATATGAGGCCAAAAGAAAATCATAAAATCTATCCTCTTACACATGTCATTTGGCAAACACTGCAAGTTTTGGCTTCCGGGAGTGTAAATTTACACCCAAATTTACATCTTCTTTTATTTTATTTTTTTAAGCATGGAAGGTTCATTAGCCAAGCTCCCAGAAGTTGTTGCCCTTAAAAAGAAATACAAAGCGTATCTTTACTTGGACGAGGCTCACAGTATTGGTGCCATGGGTCCTCGTGGGAGAGGTGTGACTGATTACTTTGGAGTGGACCCTAGTGATGTCGATATCATGATGGGTACATTTACCAAGAGTTTTGGTGCAGCAGGAGGGTACATTGCGGCGTCTGAGGTAAGAGCCCTGGTGGCCCTGCGTAAAACAGGGGCGGATCGAGAAAGTTCAGAAAGGGGCGGCGGGTACATATGTCATTTATATAGAGACTATTTATATATAGATACTATTTATTTTACCGAGCATTCTCTAAAAATAATACATTTCACAGAAAATAAGTTTGGTCGCGGTCCACTCTCGGCCGACCACTAAATCCGTCCGTGGTAAATGGTTTGAACCCAGGAGCGTGTCATAAGTAGGTAAAATATGATCGTCTTGGGGAGTGTTGCCTGAATATGACTGTTGGTAGACGTGGCTGACGTTTTGAAAGCCTGTGTGAAAGTCATTATTAGCGCCTAAGTGAGTTCTGACTCGTCAGTGGATAGTTCTATTAAAATCTGAATATTGACCTGATTGCTCAAATAGGTCGCTTTAGGTTTGGTCGTCTGTAAGTTTTGCCACAATGTTACTGGCTGAAAGGTGTGCGTTTTGATCCGTTTTTTGGGCTCTTTTATCTTTGTAATTTCGGTCGCAGTATAGTTTTGATAGAGTTGCATCCAGTTTATGATTATTGCTGATTACTTTTTTCTGATTCCCCCAATTTTATCGCAACAAGCAAGTGTCCCCCTCGCGTTTGTTTAAAAACTAAATTTTTTTAAATTGTTCAACTCCTTTCTTATCACTAATACATGATAACTGTTTTGTACTAGGAGATAATAAACCATATCCGTGGAAAATCCTATAGTGCAACATACGCATCCTTCATGTCCCCACCAGTGGCGATGCAAATTATAAAGTCAATTAAAATTATCATGGGAGAGGACGGTACGAATAGAGGTATGTAGATCCTTCAATGCAGTCCAGATACTGTTTTTATATTGACGTTCATTCGAGTTAAATTCTGGATTTGAATACAGAGCATTTAGTCTGCGAATAAGCTCTCCATTTGGGGGAGTCTGCCCCTC